TAAATTAAATAAAAGCCCAATCCACAAGCATGGCTGACAGACTGACAGAATTATATATCCAATAAAAAATATGAGGGAGAAAAAAAGTGTTGTGACAATCTAGTTGTATACTTGTATAGAAACACTTACCCCAAAACCAACAGGCATGCCATGGATATGCGTTACAGGAGACACATTGGGTGGATAATAAAAGGAACCATCTGATACTGGTAAACGAAGCCTAACAGTTGTTTGTGATGGGGTGACCCCCTTTGCGTTAGGATTGAGTTTGAATTCCTGATAGCCATTTAATATATATTGTAGACATGCTAGGAGGTCATCGAGTAAAGGAAAAACACAAGTTAAAGCATTGATGACAAAGTGTGCATGTTTATCCTGAAATCAGCTGATGCAAGACGAACATACAAAAATTAGTATCATCATACCTTTGCATGGGGATTTAGGGCTTACTTGTCAGAGGATAATGAACACACTGATTTTAGTAGTGGTCACTCAGAAGACCACTGCCAGCCTTATTCTCTTCTTCTTCCTTCCCTTTTTTTTTTGGTAGAAACAAAAAGAGACATGGGTCATACTTACCATTTGAGCCCTACAACTAGGAGGGACCCAACCCCCTGGCCATTTTCATCTAATTAGGCAACCTTATCGTCATAACAGCCACCAAAACCTAAAATGGTCATTGCCATCGTACAATTAACCTCAGAATTAACATCAAAAATTGAATCAGCAACCATGAACATCAATCCCTCCATATCACAGAGGCCTTTAATAAGTGCTTCACCAGAATTTTGAAAAAAGGAATACAGGGGTGGAGGGAGGGGGTGAGCGAACTTAAAAAAATTTACACTTTAGGATGCGCAAAATTTTTTGCCCCCGTAAGTTTTGAAATCAGCTCTTTAGAAGAGAAAAGGCCACACTTTTAAGCAGAGAAAATTTGGAAGATAAAAAATGAAAAATAAAAACCTTACCCGATTACCCGTAACTAATCTGCTTTACTGTCTTTTACCTGTCGCCTCTCAC